ACTTGGCTTTGTTCTTGGGGCCGATCCAGTAATCAATCCTCAACCCAAAGGGAACCAAAGGGCCTGTGAACTTCTCACCGAATCGAAGCGACCAAGGCGAACTACCCTCCCGGGTGTCGACGATATTGTTTGCCATGCATGCATGCCTGGCAGCGTGAGCCCAATATTGATGGTGTAGGCCAGCTTGCTCTAGGTTTACCCTTGTTCCATCGATGACAGACCGAATCGATCTTTCAGCCATAGCATTGGTCTTAGAGACGTATGCAAAGCTGGTTTGATGCCTCCATCCTAGCCTTTCGGCAGTCGCGATGAGTTCTGGTGAATTGTCGGAATAAAATACTCCTACATCATCAGTCGAACGGACAAAATGCTTGAAGGCTGCTATGCATTCACGTGTTGATCGACGTGCGGCCGGATAGACATATCTGAAATCCGTTGCCACATCTTTCACGACCAATGCGACGCGAGCCCCATCGATGTCCATTTCCTCATCGTCACGAATAACAAGATGGTCAGCAGTCAAATGTTGTCCGAAATGATCCGCCTCTACCTGGGTTGAACCACCCTTGCTATACGATGGACGTTTGGTCATCTTTGCTCTCGAGCAGGCTTGACAAAAGGGGTTCTTCGGGGTATGAGTCAACAGATGTTGAATGGATTGTGCTTCTTCCTTGAGAGCTTTCTCTCCCCTATCCCTCTTCGGGTCCAACGGCTTCTCCACCAACCTTTCATCCACTGGCTCGGGATCATCTTCAGCAGGATCCTCGCCGATGGGGTTGTCCTCATCATCCTGGACTTCAATTGCCTCTTCAGCCGGTGACGCGGGCAGAGGGATCATTGGTCGCAGCCCCTTTGACCGATCGTTCGTACCGTAAGGTTGACCTATGGCGGACATTGCAACACCAGTAGTTGATGGCAAGTATGGAACATAATCCTCTACTTCAAGCTTGACTTTGGTTCCGTCTGGTTTCTTGAAGTACGGCCTACTGTAAGCGGGCCAATGGAAGCTCCATCCTGCGTCGATGCAGCGTTGTCCTACCGATACGACGGCCGGGCTATCTTCCAAGACGTAAGGATTGATATCAGCTCCCAACACGGGGACATTGACTCTGGCTTGGTCAGTGGCTTGAAAGACTCCGTTGGCAGTAAGAAGACTGACCGGTTTGGACGATTGTGACACTTCATCCGAATGTAGCATGTGTCTAGATACAAGATCGTGTGCGCTCCCAGTATCTGCAATCCATGCAATCTCAGTGGCGGGCACTGTTGGGCATGACCTCCTCTCAAAACACTTGATGCAACCTATATCAGAGTTGCACAGGTACGAACATTCTGCCGGCAAGGACAACAGTTCGTTCCTGACAGCATTCTGAAGGTGTGATGCTGCAATGGATGCGTCCTCAGTAGCGACACGAACTGCCTCAGCATGCTCCGGTCGACCTGGTGTAAAGGGTCTTCGTTTCTTCTTACTCCGGGGTTGAACGGATCTCCAACTGGAAGAAGACTCAACAGCATGATTGAAAACGTTTGGTTGATCGTCAGAACGAACTCTTTGCGTAACAAAACTGTCAATGTTTTCTGTGTTGTCAAAATCGGTGCACATAGTGTTTGATGCGGAAAGGACTGGCATGGCCACGCTTCCCAGCGGGCGAGTGATGAGGACGGAGGATCCCTGAGAGACCACTGCGGCCATGACCACTGCTCGAAGGAGGCATACCGCTGCCGGTGCATTGGAAGAGGAAGACTTCCCACCTTTTCTCCTCTGACTCTCAGAGCCAGTTGAGTTGTCGGAGCCTGATGATCCTCGTGAGCTGCTTCGCTTGCGAGGTTTCTTGTCTTTCTTCTTCTTCTTCTTCTTTTTGTCCTCTTTCTTCGCAGGGACAGTCTTTTCAGGGTGTTGGAATGCGCAGTCTTTTCCTCGGTGGCAATGTCCTGCCTTCCAAAACTTGCAAGTCTCCTTGCGAGATCCTGGTGTCAGCGATCTTGACCGAGATTGGCTGCGATCCTTGCCCTTTCCCTTTCCTTTGCTTTTCTCGCGGCCTTTTTCGTGCTTGTAAGGACATGATGATCCGCGCTTGCATTTTCCGGTCTTTTGAAACTCGTAGCAGATGCCTTTCTTCTCCTCCGGAGCTGGCATGGTTGTGTCTTTGGACCCGAGCGAACGCTTCGTGGCGTCGCGCATCTTTTCCAACCTTTTCCGTTCGAGGTAGGCCCGGGCAGCAGTGATCAGGAAGTCGTATGTTCTTTCTTTGCTTCCATCGGCTGCACGGTCGTACAAGGCCAAATCATGCTCAAGTGGCTTGAAACGTTTCACTGCCAGGTGGAAATAGGCTTCCAGAACACTATTTTCTGGTTCCTTTTTCATTCCGGCAAGAACGCTATCCCATTTATTTATAAAGCCCTTGAGGTCATCGTTGACCATTTTGACGGACATGAGGTCTTCGAGTCCGTGGCTTGATGCTTGTGGCAAAATACTCGTGGAACCGAAGGAGCAAGTGTCTACCCTTCACGTTCTTGTCTTCACGAGCACGCAACTCCTTGAATGTAGCAATCCGCCGACCGAGGTCCCCCTCAGCGCAATTGGTTAAGCTTGCCAGAAGCTTTGCGTCGAGGGTTGCGAATCCCTCTGAATCATCCAAGGCATCAATGGTTTGGGAATCTTTGTATACTTTCCCAACCCAAGATCTCGCTTCATCCGGCTTCGCTGAAGCTGCAGCAATGTTGTCCCTCACCTTGATCTTCCAGTCTCTGTACTTCTCAGGTGTGGGGAACTTGGGAATGAGAATTTTGTCAGCCTCTTTGGCTTTACTCTCATGATCCTTGTCTTTCGACTTCCTTTGCTGCTTCTTCAGCTCTTTGCGAATGATGCGTGCAAGACGCGATGATTCAGAGCTTGAGTCATTTGAGTCATCACTCCCTCCTGATGAACTGGGTGACGATGGTGATGGGGAAGGAGAGCGTTTCTTTCTGCGCTCCCTCGAGCGGCCCCTCTTAGGGCTCTTCTCTTTCTTCTTATCCTTACCTTTCTTCTTCTTGTCTTTCTTTGATTTGTCACCACCCTCTTCATCAGCATCGGATGGATGAGGCTCATCACCGCCTTCGATCCCGGGCTTCTCCAACTGAGTGCGAAGGCTCGCTAGAGGCAAAGCTGGGGACACCTGAGACCCAAGTGGCTGCACTGATGGTGCAGGCGCTCGGTTCCCCGAGGCGTTGTCAAACCTCTCTCTCAACTCCTTGATGATTCGACTCTGTTCTGCTAACTCTGACCGAAGTGCATCCTCTCTTTGCTTGGCAGAGGCGCGTTCGTTCTCAACGACGGCGTGTCGTTCGAGCGAAAGGCGATCTAGGTAAGCCCGTTGTTCATGAAGATGTTGATTTTGATGGGCTTGATTCATGTCACTCAATCGTTGATTGGCTAAAGCCTCAATTTGTTCCCTAGACTCCTGGACAGCCACTTTAGCTTGGTTCTCCACTAAGTCTCTAAAGTGCCTAGCATCCTCAGCTACTTGTTGCCCGTGCTCGGCCAAAATGGCCTGATGCCGCAACTCTGCGATCTGAGCTACCTGTGCTGACCTGTCCTCATTGACGAAGACTGCTTGTTGATGGATCTGTCTTGCATCAACGTTCTGGACATTCATCACAGGAGAAAACTCAGGTTGAAACGGCGACGGTGCTTGACCACTAGGCAACAGGTCCCCCTGTGCACTGAACGTCGGTGGCCCAATTGGTACACGCAACTCCAGCGGAACGACAGGGAGATCAGTAGCAGGTGAACTGGACATCGCAGGCGAAGTAGGAACGTAGCCTGAGCGTGAGCGGTCACCACGGGAACCATCATCATCAGCCATGGCCTCTAGATAGTGCACTACCTAGGGTGGGGTGAGACCACAGCTAGTAGAAAGCACGTACCGCACTTATGGCGATACGGCTGATAACCTGTAGATACAGGTAAACGACCGAGAACTACCAACAAGTCGCACCTGGTTTTCCTTGAGCCAAACGGTAGGTAAGTGAGACATGTATACGACATCCTAGCGTGAAACAACAGTATAGGTTGACATGCCTGCTTGTTCATTATTAGGTGGAGGCCATCGCTATTAGGTGGAGCCATCGCTATTAGGTGGAGGCCATCGCTGTTAGGTGGAGCCACCGCTATTGGGTGGAGGCCATCGCTATTAGGTGGAACCATCGCTATTAGGTGGAGGCCATCGCTATCTGGGTGGAGCCATCGCTATCTGGGTGGAGGCCATCGCTATTAGGTGGAGGCCATCGCTATTGAGTGGAGGCATCGCTATTGGGTGGAGGCCATCGCTATTAGGTGGAGGCCATCGCCATTAGGTGGAGGCCATCGCTATTGGGTGGAGGCCATCGCT